AGTTAGAATCTCTTTTCTGTAAATAATACAATCTCAAAATTAAATTTGAGAGTAATATCTACAACTCAAAACTCTTACTTGGGTTTTTTTTTTAAACCACCATATTGATAAAACTATAACTACAGTTTATAAAATGCAAATGTGGTAATACTGAGCACTATCAATTTAAAACTACCTTTTTCAAAAAAAATCAATGAATTGTCAGTCTAACAAAGTAACTGCCTCCGCACACCCCACCAAAAGTTTATTTTACATCATCTGTTTTCTTTATGCATTTTCCTCCTTCACTGCTCACATGACTGGAAGTATACCAGTAGTTTTTGTGCTTGCCCGGATACTTAATATGGTTTCCATATGAAGGTAATCAGGAGACATTTATTTTTAAAAGTTTGAATTTTTCATACTATAGACTTTCAGTGAACTATTAAGGAACAGAAACTTGTGAGTAAAAAGGCCAGTGAGATTAAATAAAAAAATGTGCTATAGCCTGGAGCTAAAGAAACTTCCTAGGAGCAGACAAATCATAGATAATGGTATAAGGACCACAATTCTACACAAGGGCAACTTGGATAGCTCTATGGCTATATTTTCTACCCTATTTTTCCCCTGAAACATCAGTAAAAAGTAAAATTAAGCCCTTTCTTCCATCCCACTAATGCATATAGTTTCCATGGATTATGATTAACAATTTTACTTTGAAATTAGCAGATTAAATTCTTAAATCAGGGCCTGGTGCAGTGGCTCATGCCTGCAACACCAGCACACTGGGAGGCCGAGGCAGGAGGATCCCTTGAGGTCAGGAGCTCAAGACCAGCCTGGCCAACATGGTGAAACCCTGTCTCCACTAAAAATACAAAAATTAGCCGGGCATGGTGGCTCAACTTTATAAACCTTTATACCATGTTAATGATAGGAAGGAAGGACACAACTGCTAACTTAGATTATGATTCAGATTTTCCATGCTGGAATATCTCCACAGAATTTGTGGGCTACCAAACCACAAACCAATGTGTTAATTTATATCTGGGTAAATTCAAATGGTAGGCTAAGATCTTGATTTCATCAGCATTCTTTCTAGACACCAAAATGTTAAAAGCAGTTTAGGTTCTGCCCTGCTCTGTGACTGCCCCAAAGAGCACCTTACTAGTGCTGAACTGTCTTCCCAGCCTTAGCTTGCGTCCATTGTCATTCCCTCTTCTGGTGGAACCCAGAGTTTTCTTGCTGCCTTGGTTTTTCATCTCTCCATTTGGGGGCAACTTCAATTCCAAAAATAAAACCTGCAAGAAATTAATGCCTCTTTAGTCAAGAATGAAACTTGCAAGGACTATCATTTAGAAAATATTTTAAGTTATTTTAGAAAACAATCTCTACAGTTCAACATGGATTGAAATAATGTTTCTCCGGATAATTTGGAATTACCACATTTAATAAATGATGGCAATGAAAATGTATATGTCAGGTAGTCTATCCATATTCTAATTAGGCACTATCAGATTAATACTAACACAGGCCTTTTTTTTTTTTTTCTTGAGACAGGATCTCACTGTCACCCAGGCCAGAGTGTAGTGGTATGATCACAACTCACTATAGCCTTGACTTGCTGAGCTCAAGTGATCCTCCCACCTCAGCTTCCCGAGTAGCTGGGGCCACAGGCGTGCACCACCATGCCAGGCTAATTTTTGTATCTTTGGTAGAGACAGGATTTCGCCATGTTGGCCAGGGTGGTCTCAAACTCTTAAGCACAAGCAATCCACCCACCTCGGCCTCCCAAAGTGCTGGGATTATAGGCATGAGCCACCACACCCAGCCAGCTTTTAAGCAGTCAGGAACACAGGCATGTATATACGCTGTGCTGAGCAACTGGCAAACAAGTTATTAACATTGAGACTTATTGCTGTAAGAATTGTGAGCTCTCCTAAATGAGCCTGTTCAATCAGTTAAGCCCCATAGATCAACATGGAAGCTTACATGGCTATTGTCTCATTACAAAAATCAGAAAACACTAAAGTAGGAAGGGGTTTAAAAAGTCATCTAGTACCACCACCACAATGCTGGGCCCTGACAGTCCCTAGGCACAAAAAGTTAGGAGAAGGTGGCCAAAACAATGTGGCAATAATGAATGCTAGAGAGGGCTGGCAGCACCCACTGAAGACACCAGGACCACGCCGTGCAGAAGGTGGAAGATCCCATGTAACACTCACAAGCTCAGATTAGAGGGGATGAAACTAGGGCAATTCAGAACATTATCTACTATACCTAATCATTCACTTATATATTTTGAGTGGGTTTTAATGAACCTTGAATTATTTTCCCAGTAATAATTCTAAAAATTGAAACTATTTGTGTAAGCACAAGAATTTTTCCCACAAGTTGGGCCAGGGATGGAAGGGAAGATAATCCCTGTGCTTCCCTAGAATAGTAATGATGACAGAAATAATGATCTGGTTCCAGTTTCAACTGGGGTCTTAGGAATGAAAAGTACTGAGGCTTTCTGCAGATGTCAGTAACTACTTAGCCCAAGAACTGTGTTACACAGATGTGAACATATGCATGTATAGGGATTAGGGTTGCCACACATACCAAATAAAATTACAAAATGCCCAGTTAAATTTGAGTTGCATGGGGCATACTTATACTAAATTGTTATTCATTGTTTACCTGACATTCAAAATTTTTTATTGACAAATTATAGTTGTATACATTCATGGGGTACAGGATGATGCTTTGATGTAAGTATACAATGTGGTGTGATTAAATTAAGCTGATTAACATACTAATCACCACACTTAGACCTATCATTTTTTATGGTAAGACATTTGAAATTTACTCTCTTACTTTGAAATATATAATACATTATTATTGACTATAGCCACCCTGTGTACAATAAATCTTAGAATCGATTCCTCTTGTTTATCTGAAACTTTGTACCCTTTGATAAACAATTCCCCATTCCCCTATCTAAAACTTTATGCCCTTTGATTAGCAACTCCCCATTTCCCCACTCCCTACTTCCCCAGCCTCTGGTAACAACTGTTCCACTTTCCACTTCAAGGAGTTCAACTTCATTGGATTCCACATAGAGTGAGATCATCTGAAACATATGGTACTTATCTTTCTTTAACTGGCTTATTTCACTTAGCATAACATCCTCCAGGTTCATCCATGTTTTCAAAAATGACAGGATGAAATACAAAATTGAAACTGGATTTGCCATATTTTATCAGGCAACCCTAGTACAGGTATCAAAGGGTACATGAATGGCAGTATAGGAGAAAAAAATCAAGTAACTGGATAGGAAAAATAAAACACTATTAAAGTAACAATAAGGCAACAAACCCAGGAAGAGAGACCCATTATGAATAAAGACAACACAAAGATCTCAAGTTATATATGTAGAAGTTCTTTAGCTTAAGCTTTTTTTTTTTTTTTTTTTTTTTGGTGAAGCTTTCAGAATTAACTGTGAAACTTCTCATACAAATTACCTTCCAGGTAACTGCCATTTTGACATGCAGGACTAAGAAGAAGCCAATAATATCAAAGGTCCTTTACTCTTAGTCCAGGGTTTGCTTGAGACCTGTAGCTTACATGCTTTCAGGCCCATCTGAATCACAAGGGCAGCAATTCCTGCCTTGCCCCAAACCTACTTGTGCTGAAACAGAGATTCTATATTTTCTATAAGTTCCCTATGTAATCTTATGTGCAGTCAGCTAGGTATTGGCTTGGGGACTTTAAAAGCGGATACCAAAAAGAAAAAAAAAGGGCACCACTGAATTCAACACATGAATAAGAGAAATCAAGTTCCTCATTTTCTTTAAAATATATTAACGAAGGAACAGAAAATCAAATACTGCATGTTCTCCCTTATCAGTGGGAGTTAAATGATGAGAATTCATAAGCACAAAAATCCCTTTTTCATTTAATCTCAGAAAAATGTCCAGTTTCCTATTCTATAGAAAGATGTTAGGGCAAGCAAGGAAGGGGTAAGGGCTCATGAAATGACTAACTTTCTGGAGAAATAGCTATGCTGTCATGCAACCACCACTACCAATCATTTCTTCAACAAATACTTAGTGAGTCCCTCCTCTGTTCCAGGCAAATCTCCTTCTTGAGGAGCTTACTTTCTAGAAGTCCTCTTTATTACCTTCCTTTATTTGTAAACTATATCTGTATATAATTTATATACAGATATCTGCATATAAATTATATCTGTATATAATTATAATTTATAATCTGTATAAAATATACAGATCTAATTTACAAATTAGATGCTAGAATATCCCCAAAGCAATCTGGTTAACTGGCTGTTTCATTTTAGTGATCTTTAGTGTTCAGGTAAATACACACACACACACACACACACACACACACACACCCCACAATCATTTTAACTCTAAAAATTATTTATCTATATCCCTATCCCCATGATACAACCTCAGCGATGTCATCTGAACTGGTGAAAGAAAAACTGTGGCCAGCTAGTTGATAGGCCTGGGTCTCAATTGCATCCAACTTGGCTTGCATTATGTGTTTCTGACTTTCACATTCTGCAGTACTAAAGCCAATTCCATTTAGTTCGAGCAAGGCCAAGCAGTACTGAGAGGGCATTTCCACCTTATGGAAAACATCTGGAAGAAAAAAGAAAATTGAAATGTTAATTCATTGGCTAAGTGGCTAGATTAGCAGCCTCACTTAAACTATACAGAATTCATCTAGAAAAATCCAGAAACGCTACCAAGGTATCCTTCAGGAGCCAGTCTCCCAAGCAGCATCCTCAAGCCAACAATGAAAGGTGGAAAAGTACAGGCTAGTTTAGCACTGGACAACTATCCTTGTCTCTGCAGAGAGTAGAAGAGTTGGCAATCTTATGACTAGTCTGGATTACAAGAGACTATATTTCTCCAAAGATGTTTCTGCTTCTACTCCTAGCAGGAGCATAACAATCAACTTTACTTTGAAATCCAAAATGCTCCAAAATCTGAAACTTTCTGAGCACTGACATGACACCACAAGTAGGACAGTCCATACCTGACTTTATGTGACAGGGCACAGTCAAAATGCAGGTGTACAACACAAAGTTTATTCAGCGTCTCTAAAGGAAAAAAGTCCCTCCTTGCCCCATTCAGTTTCAATATCTCTTTTCTGCCAGACAACCACAGACTGCCTACATGAGTGACTGAGACAGTGACACCTTTGCTTTCTGATGGTTCCGTGTACACAAATTTTATTTTGTGCACAAAACTACTACATTGTATAAAATTATCTTTAGGCTATGTCTATAGGTATATATGAATTCTACATTTAGACTTGGGTCTCATCCCCAAGATATCTCATTATGTATATGCAAATATTCCAAAATCCAAAAAAATCTGAAATGTAAAAACACTTCTGGTCCCACATTTTGGATAAGGCAGACTTAACTTATATATTAAAGGCCCTGAGAGGACCTGAAGCAAAGACAACTATTCAATTTTATTTTAAGTGAAAGTCCCAAACTTATTTGACCATTAAATCCTTTTTTTATATAATACTTCTTAACATCTTGAAAAGTAAGCATCCATGGAATGTACTATAGGAAATGCTGTCCTAAATCATTAAGAAAGAATCCCTAACAATTCAGCTTCCAGTATTGAGTCACTAGGAATCTGAGCAACCCCGGCCCACCCTCCCCAGCTCCACACAAGCACATAATTTGAGGCACTGCTGGTCTCAATTAGCATGAGAAATCTCCAGGGACACCCATAACTACCATGAAAAGCAAAGAAACAAATGAGAGTTACTGGCTTCTAACCACCTGCAGAAGGTACGAAGCTGTCAGAGTCTGGCTTTAGAAGCCTGGAACTAGTGGAGAAATTCATGTTACTTGAGACTAGAGAAATAATGAACTTGGGTCAAAACAGGAACAATCAGAGAAGCACAAAGTAAGACTGGCAGGAAGCTAGACTGCATCCATAGTCATTAGGAAGGAGCAAGGTCGTTATGGGAATGGAGTCCCATAGCAAAAAAAGTTAAGGGGATATGGATCCTTGAAACAACAACAGGATGAGGAGCTGAGTCTCAGACTCCTGTTCTGAAACAAAACTCTCAAAGGTTACTGTGGTCCTTGGATGCGGAGTAGTGTGGTACCCAGCAGAGGCAGGAGCAAAACCTTTCTAAGGGAAGATTTCCCCACATAAGTCCTGCAGGGATCCTTGATCATAATAAATCCTGTATGAACTCACAAAAAATGTGAAAAATACAAGACAGCAAAGAAATGTGAATAGGACTCAGAAGAAATAACCAAGAACAAATTCAGATCCCCAAAATTGCAGATAACGACTAGTTAAGAATATTGCACAGCTGTGAATGAACTACTTACAAAACAAAAAGTGACTAGAAACAAAGTAAAATAGTAGGAAAATAGAGAACAAGTGTGTATCAATAATCATAATAAGCAGAAATACATCAATGATCACAATAAATTGGCAAATTTGCCAAAAAAAAAAAAAATATGGTAAGCCTGAAAAATAAATAAGCTGTACTTTGTTTATAAGACATGTCTGAAGATAGGAACCTAGAAAGGTTAAAAGGGATAGAAAAAAGCTATACAAAGTAATATTAAGAGAAAGCTGATGTTGCCATATTCATATAAGAAAACAGACTAAGAATAAAAATCATTATTTGTTATACAGATGGTCATAATACAATAATAGAAGGTTTAATTCACCAGGAAGACAAATCAATTTTAAACACATACACACCTAATAAAATGGCCTCAAAACAAAACTGATTGAATTACAGGGAAAATAAGACATAGAATATTTTGAAAACAACTTTGACTTAACAGACATATAAAATTGTGCATCCAGAATTAGAGTACACATTCTTTTGTGTGCACATAGAGCACTTACACAATAGTTCAAGTTTTAGATCATTAATTGTTCTCTAAAAATTTCAAGAATAAGTATTATATAACCATGTACTCTAACTACAACACAATTAAGTTTAAAGATAATAAAAATACAAAATAAAAGTTTCTAAATATTTAGGAATTAAAAATCATTCTTCTAAATAATTTTTGAGTGAAAAAATATACCAGAAATCTAAAAATATCTAGCATGATAAGAATATTATATATCAGGCCAGGAATAGTGGCTCACACCTGTAATCCCAGCACTTTGGGAGGCAAATGCAGGAGGACTGCTTGAGGGCAAGAGTTCAAGACCAGTCTGGGCAACACAGCAAGACCCCCATCTCTACAAAAAACAAAAAAAAGTTGTGTGTGTGTGTGTGTGTGTACACATCAAAATTGTGGAATACAATAAAAGTAGTGCTTTGAGGAAAATTTATAGCCATATATATATACATTTTGTGTGATACAGATCCTCACTCTATTGCCCAGACTGGAGTGCAGTGGCAGAATCTCTGCTCACTGCCAACTCCGCCTCCGGGGTTCAAGTTATTCTCATGCCTCAGCCTCCCAAGTAGCTGGGATTACAGGTGCATGCGACCACATCCAGCTAATTTTTGTATTTTTAGTAGAGACGGGGTTTCACCATGTTGGCCAGCTGGTCTCAAACTCCTGGCCTCAAGTGATCCACCCACCTCAGCCTCCCAGAGTGTTGGGATTACAGGCGTGAGCCATTGCACCCCGCCACCTTATATTCTTAAGTTAGAAAAGAAAAAAAATAATTTGAGAAGTAACGGTTTTAAGGTCAAAGAGGAATATTGAAAAAGGACTACAAAATAAAGTAAGGGGAAATAGATAATATAGATGTGGACAGAAATCAAGGAAATAGAAAACAAAAGTAATAGGAAGAATCAAAGACAAAAGTTGGTTCTTTGAAAAGACTAGAAAATTGGCAAAATTTCAAGTGACATTAAATAATAATATTATGAAAGAAAAAGAGGATATAACAAATAAACCAGAGATGTAAAAAAGAGAGACTTAGCAATAGCTGTATACCAATAAATTTGAAAATTTAGATGAAACATAAATTCCTTAAAAATATATAGGTTGGGAATGTCACAGCGGAGTAATAAAAAGAAAAAAAAATTGGAAAAAATAGATATATATAGCTTACCAAATATACTCAAAAAGAAATAACTGAATAATCTTACAGTTATTAAGGAAATCAAAGTTGTAGTAAAAATATCTTTCCATATCAGATGAGAATACCTCCTGGCTAACAGAAAAATTTTAAAAATAAAACGTATCTATATCTCTTTCTACAAAGAAATAATTATATTCAAACTAAATCTGATAGCTGTCTACATTCTCTCCCAAAACTTCCCTTATCTCAATGCACTTCAATTCTTGAATTCTATGAATAGGAAAGCATTAACAATGTATAAAAATGCATTTAATACCTCCTAACCACCCTTTTTTTTTTGAGATGGGGTCTCACTATGTGGTCCAGGTTGGTCTCAAACTTCTGGGCTCCAGTGATCCTCACACCTTAGACTCCTGTGTAGCTGGGATTACAGACAGGAGCCACTGAGCCAGGCTAGCCATACATTTTTGAAAGTGCAGAAAAAAAGGAGCTTTCAAAAGCACATTGAAATGGTGAGAGTTAAAAATTATAATAATCAACTAACATAATAAGCACCTGCTCTATGACAAAAACGGTCCATATTATATTCACTATCTTATTTAATCCTTAGAACAACTTTATAAGAACCAGACTTACAGTTTCAGTAGTTTGCCCAAAGTCCCTCAGCTCGTAAGTGGATAGTCCAGATCCAAACCCTAGTCTGTATGAACTCATCCATCTATTTTCTAGTACCTATTGATCAGTCAATAAATTCAGTCATCTCCTCACAATGAAGCCAAATTTGTTCTGCTTCACATCTCTATCATAAGCATCCGTTAAGCTCTCTGTAGTCAGGGTGCTCAATCTGGGCCAGCAGATAACAATGACAATAAATTCATGTTATTTGCTATGAGGGAACAAAGAGACTCTCATGACTATCCTTTGCTGTGAAAAAACATCTGTTGGTTAACAGTTTCAAAAAGAAAAGAGTTAACTCTTTGAAATCCATTAAGGATGTCTTCTAAGTGTGAATAAAAATTATTTGATAAAGTTCAAATACAAAATTAGCAACAACTGCATAAATGCCATTTTGTAATTTTCTTCACACAAGGGCCAGAAGTCAGCAAATTATGGCCAAACTAACACTAGATGCATGTTTTTGTAAAGTGCTATTGGAAGACAGCCATTTGTTTTGGTCTTGTCTACAGCTGCTCTTTTGCTACAATGGCAGAGTATTCGTGATAGAGATTGTTTGGTTCACAAAGCCAAAAATATTTACTTACTCTCTGGCCTTTTACAGAAAAAAAGCACTAGACAATCCAAAGGTAGGATTTACATAAATACGTAATTTACCCATTTTTGATAAAGAGTGGCTAAATCTCTCTCTCTAATCTATAACATAAAAATGCCAGAAACTTGGTTTTTACCTTGAAGGTTTTCCTTCTGCAACAAAGAGTTGAGCTGATTCATAGAGTTGAAGATGAGAATGGACTCCACAGATGCTCTGTATCGCCCAGAATGCTCACTGCCAGCATTTAGCCCCAGGCTTTGAATCCCTTGGCTGGTCTCCATCCCTTCTAGGAGCGGAAGCTCATGAGGAAGAAAACTGGTAACTATGCTATGAAGAGTCGGCTCCTGAGAATCTGGATCTAGTAACCAGCATGCCACCTGAATGGGATAGCAATGAGAATATTTTCCTGATTTTTTTTCGAAGACACTTTTGTACCTCTAAATGAAAAGGGAAAAAAAGAAAGCTTATTTCTAACCTCACACATTTTCATTTAATATTTATTCAGTGGTTTTCCCAGGAAGGGAGAAGGAAAGAATAATTGTAACAGGACTCATTTTTGGTAGCAATAACAGCAATGGCTTTCAAAGAAAGAAAAGTTGTAACTATTCCATTACTACAATGCTCAGGCCGAACCAGTTTAGCAGTAGGCTTGACAAACAAGTGTGTCTCAGCAAACTCAAACCATGCGTCTGAAAATGAAGATGGACTCCTCTACTAGGCTAATTTGGGCTAAGCTACTGTAATAAAGATGGGCTACTGTGAGGTTTTAGGTATATTTAGTTCTTTCAACATCAAAAGAAGTGAGGTATCGGGCGCGGTGGCTGCCGCCTGTAATCCCAGCACTTTGGGAGACTGAGGCGGGTTGATCACCTGAGGTCAGAAGTTCAAGACTAGCCTGGTCAACATGGTGAAACCCTGTCTCTACTAAATATACAAAATATTAGCTGGGTGTGGTGGTGGGCACCTGTAATCCCAGCTACTCAGGAGGCTGAGGCAAGAGAATTGCTTGAACCTGGGAGGTGGAGGTTGCGGTGAGCTGAGATTGCACCAATGCACTCCAGCCTGGGCAGCAAGATCAAAATTTTGTCTCAAAAAAAAAAAAAAAAAAGAAGTGAGGCATAAATGTTTTACCATTAAAAGTTTATATCCAGAGTTTCAGAAAGCCTCTAGACTTTCCCCTCAGGATGGGGGGTTTGTCACCAGAAAACCATCCAATTATTCATTTGATTGCCATTTCCAATCTCCTCATGAGTAGGAGTCCTGTAGTTTCTAATACTAGATCAAGCAGATCATTAACTGGATTAGAATAAGGGAATCTAAGCCCTGTTCACAATTCTGACAATTACTTTACTATATGACTCAATTATTTCTTTTGTAGGTTAAGAATAAAGTTTTATAGGGGAATACTGAATGAAACAGTCTCATGTAAAGGTTAACAGGTTTTTTAACTGAGTCGTCATTATGAAGAGTGCATCAAACTTTGCTATTATAAAGGAAAGTTCTCAGGAGCCAGTAAGGGGATTTGCCTCTATGCTAAATGGCCACTAACTACAATCCTTTTTGACATCTTATTCACACTCTTTTCCAATTTTCTGCCTCCACCCTCATGAATATTTAAAACCTTCTGCTATCACATACCTAAATCTGTTCTCATTTCACTTCCAATTTACTATTAGACAGAAAACTTAGGACTTATGACCCAAATTAAAATTTTTTCAAAATCTCTGAGGAAAGACATAAACTTTAGGGCTCCAAATTTGTGACATCTCTGTTTTTATCTACACAGAGATATTTGGTGCATGATATTCTATTCTGGGTAGATGAGATTATTGAATAAAGAATTGACTAAAATTCTTAAGCTGCATTACTGAAGCTAAGGAAATACCAAGTCATTTAAGAATTAACACTAAAAATGTTGTTTTAAGTATATAAAAATTAAATAAGATATAGAACCTTAGGATCTTCATAACTTTGCTCCAAGGAGATGCCACAAGAAAGAAGAAGAATTTTATAGCTCTGGATGAAGTCATAGATGACAACAGAACGTTCTTTATCAGATTCCTTTCGCAAGCAAGATTGAAGGTGCCATATCCTGTCTTTCAAAGTCAGGCTTGGATCTAGAGAAGGTGGAACCAAACTGGCACTAATTTCTTTAAAAAAAAAAAAAAAAGGAAAAAACAGTTTTAAGGCAAAAACTACATGTTTTCATTTGAAGCAGCAATCTTTAGTAGAAAGACTGAAAAAGACTAGAAGCCTAAGGGTCTGGTTCCATGTGACGAGTAATTCAGCATCTTATCAAGGTCATATCAGCTATGTAGATGAAGTGCATCATAATCTAAAAATTATGGTTTGGGCTAGAAGATTTTTAATGCTCTACTTAATTAGGTGGGAGAAAATATTAAGCATTAATATTTCTAAAAACAAAATTTCCCAGAATGAGGAGTTAAAGACAGGAAAAGTATTTGGAAATAAATTTTAAAGAGAGATTTAGTATGAACAGATACTATTCTATCCAAATAAAGAAAAAGCTTAAGTAACTACTCACCCCAACATATTTTCCTGCAAAACAACTGAAAATATTTCATGCTTACTAAGGAACAGACACTATACAGCATCCTTTAAAATGTTTCCTTATTAATTTTGCTCCTGTCCAAAACCAACCTATCAGCTGGGGTATCCAACAACCACAGTCAGATCACAGGGTATTTCCAGATTACATCCTTTCCATTCCAAAGACTTCTCCAAAGTTTATATGATTCGACTACTATAGACCTCTAGCTCAACGATCCCTCTAGATGAGTTTCAGACCCATTCAATGGGAGGTCAGAAGACTGAAAATAAACTGCCATACTTTAGTCTTCAAAAGCAAACCTTGAAAATGGCAAGAGAGTTCCTGAGGCTTCACTGCCCACTCAGAGGAAAAACCCATAGCATTAATAGCCTCATGTGACAGGCAGGGAGAAGTAAGGAAGTGCTTCTTAAAACATTAATTCTAGTTAATATATGCAATAACGTATATGCCAGCTGCTCTCCAAAAAATTACAAGTTTTGCCGGGCACAGTGGCTCACGCCAGCACTTTGGGAGGCCGAGGCGGGTGGATCACCTGAGGTAAGGAGTTCAAGACCAGCCTGACCAACATGGGAAAACCCTGTCTCTACTAAAAAAAAATACAAAATTAGCCGGCGTGGTGGCACATGCTTGTAATAGCAGCTACTTGGGAGGCTAAGGCAGAATCGCTTGAACCCAGGAGGTGAAGGTTGTATTGAGCCAAGATCAGGCCATTGCAAGCCAGCCTGGGCAACAAGAATGACACTCTGTCTCAAAAAAAAAAAAA